TATAAGGAGGAAGGGCCATGCTATGGCTAACCTCAGGTTTTTTCCCCATATACACACATTCCTCCCTATATCCATCACTAACTTTAGATTCTTGGAAAGAGAGAGATGTTTTAGGAAGATGCCTTTGAAGATGTTTATCAAGATTTATCAAGATGCCATCAGACTCCCTTAAGAATTTGCCCTTTGCAAAGATCACACTAGAAATACAAAAATATTACCAAGAGGAGGAAACAAAAAAGAATAAATTAATCACACTGAGCAAAACATAATGCTTCACATCTGCAAGACCATAGTGTTAAGATTAACTTTAAAAGGAAAACACTCTTCTTGTTTAGGCTTCCAAATTAAGTCCTGTGAGACGGTTCAGAACCTGAACACTGGCATCTAAGTTTTAAATAACATTTATATACTTACACAGCTTTATTTATTTAGTGCAAGCTATTTTAAGTTTTCAGTGCCTGGGTATTGCATGATATGGGAATAACTGGTTACCAGAATATAGAACTGAGCACCTTTTCCTTGGTTCACTTGAAGCAGAGTGCTATTAGCAATCATAGAGGAATTGCTATACTAATCTCAGGGACTTGCAACAAAATAAATTACTTTTTGATGAATACATATGATTTAAATCAGAAATATCTAATATGAAATAATGTCTAGATAAACCAAAAATTAAAATGAGAACATGGTCTCTCACATTGGAAAAATCATTTCTCTCTCTGTCACCTGTGCATTGATCTGAAATTTTACCTCAGTATGACTGTAAAGGTAGTACAAAATCAGATATACTTCAGCCTCAGGAACTACACCATTAGCAACTAAGAGTTCTACGCAAAGTATTTCTGCAAGTCCCACTAATGGAACCAGAATTTCGTATTCTGGGATCCAGCTATCACAAGAAGCCAGAAATGACTATCATTTTCCACTAGAAAGAGATGTGCTGGTAACATGAGTGTTCTGTCTGTCAGTCTCTCCTAAGAAGAATTTTAAATTACCCAGTCAGTTAGTGAATGAAGATGGTAAGTAGAGTGATACAGAAAATCTATCAGCTCTCTTTCTTCTATAGATGTACCTATACAACCGGTTGGGTACAAATCTTGTTTATTTTAGAGGCGCTCCTTTAAAACCAACCTTGCTATTTCTTCTCGGTGAGCAGTCCAGTCACGAATGTAGTCTTCCTGCTCCTTTATTCTGTGCTTGAATGTATTGCTACTTTGAGCTGCTGTCCCAGTGCTCTGCAGTCGCGTGGTTTTCAGGGCTGGAGAGGTACGTAGACGGGTATGTTTAGGGGAATTACGGTTTGATCCGAATTCATCTTCTGAGGTGGAAGCATAATCTGTAGGAAAGCGCCTCCATCTTGCACTTACTAAATTAGTTTAATTATTAAAAAAGAATTATTATTACATCTTAAATAAGAAAAAACAATATTATTTCAGTAACATCACAAAAATACGCAATTATTTATTATCAATCCCCAGGTACCTCACAAAAGGTTTATTTACTACATCTTAAAAAGAAAGCTACAAAATTTGTGTTAAATAATAAATATTGATTAATAAAAACATAAAACGGATGCTCTTTGTATAATGATGAGTGAAATAAGATGTAAAAGCCAGTAACTGTATATGAGCTCAGGCAAACTGTATTACAAAACACGGGCCCAATTCATTAACATTTAAGTATATAGTCAGATTGCACTTTTTCTGCAGATTTTTTCCCAAGTTTCATTCAAGGCTCATGTGATACACAAAAAAAATGAAGAGACATGAAGGAAGGATGGAGCTGGCACCAAGCCAGGAATGCATGCTTACATAAGGAAAGCACAAAAATCCTAGATGATGCATTTAGTACTGAAAAAATATGTGAAAATTAATACTGTGTTATAAAAATCAGCAGCACATCTACAAAAACAGCAGCCTCAGAGCAAAAAGCATATATTCTCACATGTGGCACATAAAGCATAATCAGCTATGTTGCTGAAGACAGCCTGAAGTATAAGAGAACTGAAACTACATAGGAGGCTTTCGTCCCACTATGAATTACTAAAGTCTAGAAAATGCATTTCAGATATGCTGTCCTCAAACATTCCCAGCAGGAAGAGATACCACTAAGTGCAAAGGAATGCTCATCATGACAACATGCTAAATTCTTGCAGGGCATTTAGTCTCCCAAACTCACTGACATTCATGAGGCTCTAAAACTACTGTAGAAATTTAAAAGTCTGTGATCACCTCTTGGTAATTTAAAAATAACAGATTCAAATAATATATATTGCTTTTAGTATAAGAAAAATGCAAGAAGGAATAATTATTTCTCCTGAAATGCTTAATAAAAATTACATAGTATACATCAATATGAATTTAAGTAACAAACAATAAAAGCAATTTTTAGTTGTGAAAAGATTTGTGTAATGCTCTCAAAGATTACAGTATGTAGAATATGACATTGGTGTATAAGCTTACAAAATCATGTCCCATTCTACCAATTTATTTTAATATTCTAACTTTATTGAAGAAAGTGAAAATGTCTCTCCAGTCACTTACTGTTCTCTTTTTAGAGGTTTCAAACTTGTTTTGATCTTAGGGAAGTAGAACATAAGCAGAAAAAGCACATTTCCCCACCAAGAGCATGCAAGCAATGTGTGACTGAAGTCCAGAGAGCTTTATGAGTTGGGCCCACATTTTATCATCAATTTCTGTTTAAATTCTTTGTCCCAGTTCAAATTATATGCATCAAAATAAATACAAAATTTATCTTAAAATCTCTCAAGCGAGCTAGTCCAGCAACTCAGCACTGTACAATGAGCATATATTAAATATCATACATTTAAAAACTAAAAATTGAATGAGAAGTGAAATATCAGAAACAGATTTGATTTCTAGTACTCTACCACTGTAAGTTTCAACATCAGGATCTGGGTCTGGGAGAAGCTTGGATTTCTCTGTGTACAAAATAGTGTTTTATCATGTTAATTCGTATTAAAACATTCAGATTAGAAGCACTTGCTTAAATAAAATATATTGATGAATTAGTCTTAGGTCCTCTTTTCTACCCACACTAGGAAAAGATTCTTAAATTACACATTCAATCGAAAATAATGAATTTTGTAAAAGCTTAAACATTTCGGAGATGCTAACTGAAATGACATCAGTAACAATTGTCTACATAATACCATAAAACCCCTCTACACTTTTTAAGACCATTACATTTTAAGGCCTTAAAATGTTGTATATTTGTATATTATTATTAATACGGGGAAAAAATTATTGTGGGCTTAACTGTAAAAATCTCAAAGTTGTATGAGCAATATCCAAGCATGTTTCCCATTAAGCTAGCTATACATTTGGCACATATATGCTTTTACTTATGTTTATAAATTATGCAGCCACAAAATGTCATTGAAGTTTATGTAGATTTCTGAGAGCTATCATATAATTAGTTATCTCAGACACTAAAGACTGTGAATATCAGCACCAATAACTAGAAAATCCTCCAAAAAACTGGCTAAAATAATCAGCAGACAAACCTCATTTGGTGACTGCTCTGTACAAGGTGTTGACAACACCTCAAACTGGCAAGTTTAATGACTTAGACACCATCATTTCACTTTTAAGATCTGAGGACAGACTTAAATTAAGCATATCCCTTACAAAATACTCTACTCTCATTGATGCATTGCCTTCTCAAGGTTCATCCATTTCAAAGATCCTGAAATTTAGTGCTTGGTAGTGCAAAAATGCTAAAGTGCAGTTAATAAGGGTGTTTTTCTCTCCATGCTCAAGCTTTGTATTTTTTTTTTTTTCCCCAGAGATACCTCACAGCTTTGATCAACCTATCTGCTAGTTATTTGCAATGACAGCTAGGTCAAGCAAGCCAGCCGAGCTGCCAAACACAACTAGTTGCTCAAGTTCTCTCTGTTCTGACTCAATACTTAATTTTAAAGTTGCAGCTTAGCTCTTTTGGACTAGGTCTGATCCTGTTGTTCATTTTCCAAATACGTAGCTCCTTCTGTAACATCACCTTCAATCTTCCTCTGCAATTGTGAAAAAAGGTCTTTGGTCTTCTCTGTTTTTATTGATCACACTCTACTGTTTGATGATTCAGTGCCTTGATTAAATCTTTCATTGTTCGTGCTATGAAATTACTAATTCTGCTTCACATGTCTTCACAGCGTTGTCAGTTATCAAGATTCCTACCACAGAAACACCCTGGTAATTACTTTTATGCTGGTAATTCTCATCCAAGATGTTCCATTTAGCTGCTTGCTCTTTCATTTAAAAGCAAGCAATATTTAACGGTATCAAGGCTTAAAAAAAGATTCTTGAAATTATGGACTTGCTGGCAGCTCTGACAATTTTAATGCTATTATGCTGCAATTCATCCACATGAAGTACAAGACAACAAAACATTCCAGTGACTACAGCTTTTTTTGCCCTCTTTTCACAGGCATGTATGACTGACCATTCAAAAAGATTTGGGAAATGTGGAAATAATTTTCTCTTTGGTAGACTGGAGTTAAGAAGCAAGATTCTGTTGCCAATGTTTAGTGATCTACAAAGCAGTAACATTAGCTGAACTCTGATGAGAAGACCCATGGAACATTTTTAACGGTTTGATAGCAAACAGGCTTCTGGTAAAAAAACAAAACAACAAAACAACCAAACCCTATATTGGTACTGTTCAGTCATTTTCCAGTCTTTCTAGGTCCAGGGAGACAAGAAAATACATCACTGTTAGGCCTTGATTAAATGTGCCCGAAGTAAACCACATTCAAACAACTGAGGTGCTTTGGTCAGGCACTTCATTAGTAATTTCCAAAAGTGCTAAAATTAAGTGAATTGTTGACTTTTCTAGAAATAAAATTAAATTTAGGAATTATGTGCTTTGACCTAAAAGCTTCTGCTACATTACATTTTTAGGTATTGCATACAAGTAACACATTCTATTCAAAGATGTTTTAAATACCTTTATCTAAAGAATATTATTAATAACTTCATGTATGGGGTAGTCATTAGCATAATTTTATAAGATGCTAATGGAAAAATGGGAATGTACTGAGTAGTAGCCTATATATAATAGGAGATAATATATATATATTACACTCCCATATATACTAGAAGATTATACCACTTTTAAAGCAATTCAGATTTTCCTAAAGTATATTCTAAATAGTCCAGTAAAAAAATTATACAGTAAGTTTACCGATACAGACAAAATCTGGAACTCCAAATCCTAAAAAGTAGTAATAATATTCTTTACTTATATAGTAACAAGACTTCATTGATTATTAAGCCATAATTTTTTTTTAAACTGACTGCTTTATTAATTGCTTTTAGATTTTTGCCTTTACATTGATACAGGCCTCTCCCTGATTTTGATATATAAACTGATAAAGCTTTTTATGATAGAAGCTATTACTACTGTAGATTTTTCTAACAATCGTCTTTTTAAAACACCTAGCTTATATTGAGGTAGCTCATGAGAAGATGACATCTTTTCTCTCTTGAAAACAGCATTTTATACAAGCTACAGTAAACTTGGACTGTGTAATGCAGGTAAATGAAATGACCATTAAACAAAGATGATTGTGATAGACTAGTAGACTGGGAAGAGAAAGATATACCCACTCCCCCGAAACGAAGCAGCAAATCACTTCAATGCAGTAACCTGGGAGAAGTTCAGGAGTATGCAATAGTTCACATGGACACAAAACTCAAAATCCATATATAGTTTTGTGAAAAACGCTAGAAGCAGCAAAGTGACAAGTAACATCCAGGGTTTACCTTTTCAAAAATCAGCAATATCATGATGTGAACTAGTGTTAATCATTAAAGTAAACACATAGCTGCAGTCTTAACTGACGCTCTTACATGACA